TCTGAAAGAAAGAAAAAAGAAAATACTTTTGGGTCAATGGATACCAGTTAGGTTCCAAATAAATATAGACACTGAACCAGCCTAACAGGATAGGGAGGAGGCACACTTGGAACACTCCACTTCTGGGTATGTTGGGTGGAGATGTGTATTTGAAGTTTAGCTTCCTAATATTTTCTAATGGTTTCTAATATTATGTTCCTGTTATGGTGAGTTACAGCAAAAAAGCCAGTAACTTGTGGCTCATTGGCCTCAGAAATAAGATACACAATTATATTAATTAATAAATGTTAGGTAATTGCTATTTTTAATAATAATATCTAATTGCTAAGTGTCTACCTTGCATGGGGACTATATAAGGTATTTGCCATAAGTTATCCCTAATTCTTAAAACAATCACCCAGCCTTGTGGGCATTATATCCCTGTTTCCAGAATATCACACTGAGGCTCAAAGAAGGGAAGTGACTTACCCAAGAGTACACATCTGTTAAGTCATGGGAGAAGAATCACACTCTGGCCTTGAAGGCCATACTTTCCTATTATACCACGCTGTCATTATACTATGTTAACAAAATTATCAGATTTATTTATTTAATTTTCCTTCATTTCATCTTCTGTAAAGTAGATCAGTAATAGTATCTACTCTTGGAGTTTTTGTGAGTGTTAATGACCATTCACATAAAGCACTTAGCACCAGTTTAGCATATAACAGATGCTCAATGTTAATTTTTGTTATGTATTTTATTGGCCCTGTGCCAGGACCTGAGCCAAGTACTGGGGAAATAGGAGACTAGGATACTACATCTTTCTTCCAAGGGCTTATAAGTAGTATAGGGGAGATGGGGTAGAATAGGTTTTACCAATAATTATAATCCAGTGTGATAAATGCAGCAGGATATATGGATCCATAGGCAGGGTGTTAGCATGGAGGGTCAATTCTATTCTTCCCATGCTGGGGAGAAAACCCCTGCACAGCTCTGGTCATTAATGTGATGAGAGCCTCTCTATAGGGCGATATTGTATGATATCATAGAAGGGCCTTTATGAAGAAAAATTTTTTTAAAAATTGTTTTAGTTCTTTCCTAAAGGACAGGTTAAGCAAATAAAAATTCTTTTCTAAATAAAGTGTCAGTGCTATTCAGCGGGGACTTAAATTGTGATTTTACACCTGGAGAGGGAGCCAAGGGGAACCTGAGAACCCTGGACTTCCACAGTGTGCAGGATGGGGAAGACAGTTACCACTTACAAGGGAGAAGGAGAACAATGAATGCTCCACACCTAAAATAAAGGCATTCTTTGTCAAGCCTTTCTACTTGCTCCCTCCCATGGAGTACCACACCCACTTCTTCAGAGCTTTGGGCAGCCTTGCCTTTCAAGAGACCTCCTGGGAAAACACTCCTAAGTAACTACAAGAAGCCCAGCTACTTATACTAACTATTCTAGTCTTTCATTGATAGATATGAACTTCTAACACAGACTCAAAAGAATTTAGATGAAAGGTATTGCAAGAAAGGGTTAAGATAAGCAATGCAAACAGCCAAACCCAAGAGAAGAGAGATAATGTAGGAAATAAAAAACATTAAAAACAAAACTTGTGTTAGTATCTTCAGGGAGATTCAAGAGGCTGTTGAATAATAAGGCGAGAATGGACTGCCATAAAAATGAGCAGCTAGAGGAAAAAATTCTTAGAAATTAAAAAATATAATTAAAAATAAATAAACAAGTGGGCAAAAAGTAAAATAAATGTAGTTGAAGACTACTTAGTAATTCAGAATATAAAGTTAAGGAATTATCCTAGAAGATAGAATAAAAAGAGAAAGAAATTAATAGATTGGAGGATAGCACCAAGGAACCCAACATCTATCATATAAGGGTTTCAAAGCAGAGAATGGTTTGGACAAGGGTACAATTCAGATTATAATACAAAAATAAATAGGGACTTCAGAAGAAAGTAGGCAGGGGCACCTGGTTGGCTCAGTCCTTAAGTGTTGCCTTTGGCTTAGGTCATGATCCCAGGGTGCTGAGATTGAGCCTCTTGTTGGGTTCCCTGTTCAGCAGAAGTCTGCTTCTCCCACTTCCTGCTCATGTTCTCTCTCTCTCTCTCAAATAAATAAGATCTTAAAGAAGAAGAAGAAGAAGAAAGTGGGCAAAAATAATGGAGGGGAAAGAAGTAATAAAAAACATAAAAGATACAGTTTCTCCAAACTGAAGGAAGACTTAATTCTTCAGGAAAAATAAAACAAACAAACAAAAAATCCCTCACCAATTATTTAGTTGGGAAAAGCAAAAAATAAAAGACACACACTTAGTCCTGTGCTGGTGAGACTTCATAACTCTAACATAAAAAAGAAAACTGTAAACATTCCCAAAGAGGAAATAAGCTAACAAATTTTCTACAAAGGGATAAAAATAATATTAGTATCAAACATTTAGAATATTAATTACCCAATGACAATGAAATAGTCAAATCTTTGAAATATTTCGAACCTAGAATTCTGTAAAAAAAAGTTCAAACTATTATTCAAGTTTGAAACAAAATGACATTTTTAGACCTCTAGGTATTTAGAAAATCTATATCTATGCACGTTTTATGAAAAAAAAATTAAGATTTACTCCGGTAAAGGAAAAATAATCCATGAAGTAATGATGTAGGATACAAGAATCAATAGTAAGAAAATAAGCCAGCCACTATAGTTTAGTGTAAATTTTTGAAATTGGGTCTGCCAAACTTAATGCAATTGTTAAAAATTGAAAGGATAGTAAAAACAACTAGTAATCATCTAGAACTAATAAAATTTTAGATTATTTTAATCAAATGTATAAAGTCTAACTGAGAAAGGAATCTTTTTTGGGAACAATAAATTATAATTAATTTTTAATTAATTTTAATTTTAATTTTAATTTAATTTTCAACATGGATAGAAAACTCAATTGTATATGTCTTTTTTAAATATAAGAGTATTCTTTGGAGAATAAATTTAGTATATATAGCTGTCCAACAAATTATAGAGGGGAAAATAAAGAAAATTTGATCAATATACATAAAGATAAGACAGCAGAAGTAAACAAAAAATATAATAGAAAACACAAAAAGATGATAATAAAAAGACAATTTTAGATAATGTATCAGTCATTACAATAAATAAACATGAGTTAAAATCTTATATTAAAAGATAAAGACTATTTGAATCTGCTGAAAACAGTCACACAAACTACCTATTCAAGTATATGCTATTTGTAAAAGGTGCAATAGAGCAAATGGAAAATAATTTTGAAATAGAGGTCCCCATAAAATTATAATAGGCAAATTGTAACAAAAGGAAAACTGAAACATTAATATAAAACAAAATGCAATGTAAGGCAAAGAGGATTAAATGGGACAGAGTGATATTTCATATTGATAACCAGTTAAATCTGACAAGAAACTATAATGACTATGAGTCTTTGTGCACCAAACAAAAAACATTAGAATAAGTAATCCAAATCTCTTGGAATTATAAGCATAAATTGATCAAAACAGAGTTTGAAGAGAGCCTTCTTTCAGAAATCTCTGTTGCAGTAACTTTTACGTGCTTTACTCTGAAACCGTAAAGCTATTTGAGTTTTTTTGTCAGTTCCATTTAATTATCTTTATATTAACATTCTTTTGCTTCTCTTTTCCTGCACTGTCCTTAAATATGCTATCAAAACTCATATTTTAAGGTCTTTTTTTTTTGCAGGGGTGCCAGAGTCAAAAGGACTCCATTAATTTTGTGATTTTCAAATGAAGCAGGTAAAGTTTTTTTACTGAAGAGCTAATGGGAGTGTATTTGGATATTTCGCTTAAAGCAACACTTTTCTCTTACCAGCATGCCATCCAATCCTTGAGTATGACTTTAATGGTATTGATTTTATGGATGCTCATGGTTAGATGTAACCTTGCTAACCATCTCATAATCATTTTAGACCAAGACATGAAACTCATCATCCTAGGTTTTGGTTCCAGCTGCCACTCACTGTCTACCTTCAAGAAAGTCACATAACTTCTCTGGATCTCAATTAACTTGTCTTTGAATTAAAGAAATTGGGATAGAATAGTTATTAAGATTTCTTTCTTCCTCTAAAGTTTTATTTTTCTACTGCTTGATTTTTATTCATATTTTTATCTATTCTTTTTCTAAAATCCTATATTGTCGTGGCCGGTGCGACAAATTGACCAGGAACGTGAGGGTAAGAGGATGAAGAAAAGAACTCAAGAAGCAAAGAGGTGGGGGCAGGAGGAGCACTGAGGAGGATGTCCAACAGTGCTAAGTTTATTCAAAGCACTAAGGCCATATATATAGTGATAATAGGAGAAGCAATACACCTGTGTCTAGTTGAACACCCATGAGTTCACATAATAAGTTTCACATTTAACTACAAGCAGACCTCGTGACGCCAAACGGCTGATGCCAGTACAATTGTTCTGTATTGATACAGCAAACCTGAAAGTAATTTATGGGCTGTACTAGGGCAGCAAGGACCAGCAACGAACTTTTGACCCCAACTGAATTGTTCTCATTTGTTTAACAAGCATGTGGGAAGTCACTTAGGCCAGCGCACAACACATAGCACAGACCCTTTCCCAGTGCTACTCAACTTTTCCCGTCCTAAACCTTTTGTTAGGTTATTCGGACTTTAAAGGAGGCACAAGTCAGGGCCTGGTTTGGTCCTCGTCTCAAGCCTTATTGCGGCCTCCCACACTATATTGACAAAAATACTTCTGAGAAATATTTTATGAATATGAAAAATGACTTTTCAACCTCTTACCAGATCTTTGGAAGAAAAGAACAGCAAAACATTTGAGGGTGTGGTAGTTGGTGCAGGTGATTGAAGGGACACATGTTAGTTTCTCAGCTTTGTTTGGCGCCCTCGTTGTCTGTAGGGATCAACAATGCTGAGTCTATGGTTGGTGTGGAGCAAATGTCTCTTGAGTAAGAGGCTTGGGCTTTCTCCTTATAAATGTGGCTTCTCCCTTATTTAGCTGCATTGCAGGCACTAAAGAGAAAGAAGAGGTTCGAGAAGCAGCTCACTCAGATTGATGGCACACTTTCCACCATTGAGTTCCAGAGAGAAGCCCTGGAAAACTCACACACCAACACCGAGGTGTTAAGAAACATGGGCTTTGCGGCAAAAGCGATGAAAGCAGTTCATGAAAACATGTGAGTGACTTTGGTCTCCCTCCAAGTCATAAATTCCCTCAGTGTTGAGAAGAGCCTTTGGAACTCCATGATGATTTTGATAGGAAGGGAGTTAGTTATTCATTTGAGGATTTTTGACATGTTGGAATGGAATGCCCCCTCAAAGAAGGATTAGAAGTTAGAATAGGGAAGAAAGAAAGAAAAAAAGACCATGAGAAAATGAAGACATTCATTTTGCCCTTAGGTTTCCCAGTTGTCTCAATATTGTCAGATACTCCAACTATAAATGCTTTTACACTATAGGTTATTATTTTTTTTTAGAGAATTTTCTTTCTTTCTTTTTTTTTTTTAAAGATTCTATCCATTTATTTGACAGACAGAGATCACAAGTAGGCAGGGGCACGCAGAGAGAGAGAGAGGAAGGGAAGCAGGCTCCCCGCCAATCAGAGAGCCCGATGTGGGGCTCGATCCTAGGACCCTGGGATCATGACCCGAGCCAAGACAGAGGCCTTAAACCACTGAGCCACCCAGGCGCCCCTATTTCTTTATTTCAAAGAGAGAGGGACAGAGAGCACGAGCAGGGGGAGAGGTAGAGGGAGAGGGACAAACAGACTCCTCACTGAGCAGGGAGCCTGATGAAACAGGGCTCAATCCCAAGACCCTGAGATCACTACCGAAGCTGAAGTCAGACTTTTAACCGACTGAGCCACCCAGGTGCTCCTCACACTGTAGTTTTAAAAAGGCCTAAATGTCGACACCTGTGAGTGTTAGAATGGTCAAATAATGGTTGCCAAACTTTGGTTATCAAACCTTTTGGAAAACCACAAAAGAACACAGATGCCCAGGCTCCTTGAAGCAGGGTAGGGATTAGGCCTTTTGTTTTGTTTTTTTTTTTAAGATTTTTATTTGTTTATTTGACAGATCACAAGTAGGTGAGAGGCAGGCAGAGAGAGAGAGGAGGAGGAGGCAGGCTCCCTGCTGAGCAGACAGCCCGATGCGGGGCTTGATCCCAGGTCCCTGGGATCATGACCTGAGCCAAAGGCAGAGGCTTTAACCACTGAGCCACCCAGGCGCCCCTAGGCCTTTTGTTTTTGATCACCAAGTTCCGCAGGTGATTCTAATAGTAGCAGGTGTTTGTGAAACATTGACCTGGAAGAATAACTATGAGCATGGATTTAAGGTCAGATTTTTCTAAGTTACAATCCCAGTTTCATTACCAGCTATCCTTGAAGCAAATTACTTTGCCTTTCCCTGATTCAATTTCCTTAGCTATAAATTGGAGATAATAATAATTCTTACCTCATGTAGTCATTGTGAAAGTCAATGAGATACCAGATACAATGCGCTTAGTTTCTGGCACAAAGTAAGCACTCAGTATCAATATTCATCATGGTAGTGGGGCTGGGGATAATTTGCTGTACATCTACACTAGGAAATCCATGCCTGGGACCTGATCCTTTCTTGAGATTGGATATGATGGTGAAGTCTGGGTCAAAAATGCATAAGAAGGACACCTGGGTGGCTCAGTTGGTTAAGCCGCTGCCTTCAGCTCAGGTCATGATCCCAGGGTCCTGGGATCGAGTCCCACATCGGGCTCCTTGCTCAGTGGGGAACCTGCTTCTCTCTCTGCCTCTGCCTCTGCCTGCAGCTCTGCCTGCTTGTGTTCTCCCGCTCGTGCTCTCTCTCTCTCTCTCTGACAAATAAATAAATAAATAAAATCTTTAAAAAAAATGCATAAGAACAATGAGTGGCTGAGGGATCTAGAGAAGTGTCCATGGATGGGAAGAGTGGTGGTGGCGGGGGAGGCTGGGGCCAGGGAAGACTTCTTTGCTGACATTTTCTTGCCTTGATGATTCCTTGACAATCAGCTATCATTTTGACAGCTTCAGAAAGATCATTAGAGTTGTTACCACAGTCAAAGTCCTCTCTCACTGCTGTCAGCGGTGTGCTAACTGTGTCACAGAATCACAACCTTTCTCTCCAAGTAGTTGAGCAGCTGCATTCCCCTGAATTCCTTTTGAGAAAAATTCAACCTCAGGCCCAGACTTTACTCCTTTTCATAAATAAGTTCCTTGTATATTTGTTACAAATATAATTATAATAATTAGAGATAAGGGGTGATAGGAGGGTGCTAAAAGAAAACTTTTTATGTAAAAAAAACCCTTGGCTTTTCCTATAAACAGAGTCTGGGAAACTTGCAAAATATTTATTCCACTGGGAGTCACAATTTCAGTGTTTATGTTGCTTAATAATAAGGAAAATTGTCACTTCTCTGGTATCTTATCAGTTTACCCTAGTTTCAGAGTTGGAGGAATGATTCAGAGATGGGGTGGTAGAGAAGCAGTCCAGATCCTGGCCTTAGGCAGGTGGTTAGGTCTGGAGGGGTAGGGGATGGTGATCAGGTACTAGGAACTGTCAACAGAACAGCTGCCCGTCATGGGCCTGTGGCGACCTGGGTTTCTGTGCCCAAGTTGCTGACTCTTCTGAGGGCTTCCCAGGCCTCACCCTTTTCTCATTAGTATTCTCCCCCCTGGCATCAGCAGCTATGGGAAAGCCCTCAGGAAGTCAGGATCTCAGAACCATGAGGCATTCTAGAAAAATCTCTCGTTCCAGAGTTCAGCTTCTCTAAAAGGCTGCGGTCAGGTAGTGGCTGCTGAGAGTCGCCATAGCTTATCTTAGTCATGGTGGTCCTTGGTGGTCCATGGCACCATTTCCGCTGACTTAATACAGAGCAGCATATATTATTAAATTCTACATATGGCCTACCTACCAGACAAAATTTCTAAATGCATCTACAAATATTGTTAGTTTTAGTCTCTAGTAACTCCCGAATGTAATGGCTATCTATCAGATATTTAAAATATATGTGCATATGCAGGATTATTAATTTTATTGCAATGCAAGTTATTTTTAAAGTTGATAAATCTTATCACCAGAAATTTTTGTTATTCTACTGAAATAACTAAGAGTTTACATTAAATTAACTCCTTTTCCATATGGGATTGTATCTAAATTCATAATTTTAAAGTAAACTTCTGAAATATTTCTTCTTTTTTTTTAACTTCTGAAATATTTCAACAACATATTATCTCCCAGGGATCTGAACAAAATAGATGATCTGATGCAAGAGATTACAGAGCAACAAGATATTGCCCAAGAAATCTCAGAAGCCTTTTCTCAGCGGGTCGGATTTGGCGATGACTTTGATGAGGTAGGTAACACAGTGTAAAGAACGGAGGATTGTGGTTGCTGGAAAGGATAGCTTCCTCCCATATATAGCAGGTGGGGGGTCTTAAATATTTTCTTAAATATCATTAAAGAATAAATGGTATTTGTTAGCAATGTATTTCTCTTAAGGAGGAAATGAAGTGCTGGCAACCCTGATTTAAAAAAAAGATTAATATGGTTTAGCAAACTACCCCCTAATTAAGTTTTCAGCTATTAAGGAAAGGCAGCATGTGATTATGTAGAGTTAGTGACTTTTAATGGCTGAAGCCTAAACAGCCCCATTACAAGGAATCAAGTGCTCACACATCTGGGCAAAACAAAGCAGATTGTGTCACTCTGCAAGGAACAGACATATCACGCTCTGCAGTTGTTAAATTAGAGGTTAGTCTGCCTCTGTTTATTACTCAGTCTATGAAACAAAATAAATGTAGAGTGGCATTATTAACACACACATTCCATTTAGATTAATCAGTCCAATAATAGAGACACTAATTATAATGGTGATGTCTGCACTGTGAATTTCAGTTGTTCTACTTAAAGCACATATAAGTAGGACTAGTGTATGTTTCGAAATGTTTCCAGTTCTCTGATTAGTATGGGAAAGAATCTGACTTTCTACATCTGCCTGGTATTAAAATGATATATCTATGAAGTAAGATGTGGTTGCATAGAAACCTGGAAAGTGAGAATTGAGTGTCAACAACTTTTAAAAAAGGTGTAGATGGTCACATGTGGGACTTAAAAAACAAAACAAACAAACCAACAGGAAAAAAAAAAAAGAGAGACAAAAACCCCAGGCTCTTAAATATAGAGAAGTAACGGGGTGGTCGCCTGGGGGCATGTGGATGAGGGGAGGGTGAACAGGTAAAGGGGATTAAGAATGCGTTTATCGTGAGGAACTCTGAGGGGCACATGCAGTTGTTGAGTCACTGTTAATGTTAATTTTACTGGAATTAAAATAAAAAACTCTATCTCCTCCTCACCCCCAAATGGTGTAGACCAGGGGTTAGAAAATTTGGTGTTGAGGCCAAATCCTTCCCATGGTCTTTCTGTATGATGCCTGAGCTAAGGATGTTACATGTTTAAAGGACTGCAGAAAATAAGAGCAATGATAATAGAAACAAAGAACGCTGTGCAACAGAGACTGTATGTGGCCAGCAAGCCTAAAACATCGCTATCTGACACTTTACAGAAAATGTGGCCTAGCCCTGGTTAGGCTAATAAGCATCTAATGAGTGCATTACGTATGATATGGTGAAAGGGGCTCTGGACTCGAGGACATCTGGGTTCTGCCATTTGTTACTTTGTGTAAGTCTCTTCACTTTTCTGACCCTTAGTTTTCTCATCTGTAAAAGAAAAATTACTGGTTTGCTTGAATATCTCTGAAGTTTCTTAAATTCTAAAATTATTTTTTCAGTGAACAAGTGTTTGATACTCAAAGTCTATAATTGATGGGGGAGATGATTATTCTGTCATATTTGCTAAAGCAAATATCAATATCTTCTTGGTGCTGTTGAAACTAGCAGGTGCTCTTGGCAGTTCTGGGCACACATTCAGTGTAGGCTGGCGTGGGCAGCCATTACTGTATCGGTTATATTTGTTCCCATTTATTTTGTGAGCAGAAGTAGGCATTGCAATATTCATCCTGCAGGCATGTTATTCATATTGTCTGTGGAAACCTGAAAGCACACAAGTACACCGGCCATACTATTTCAATTGCCCTGATGACATACACGTTCATGATTTATTTCCTTTTCATGAGGTAGACTTAACAGTGGTCAGACAGTCGTTAAGCTTGCTGCACATCTGATATAAATTGACTTGATCCAATGTTGTGGTTGGCTTAAGTATCTGCTGTCATGGCCCAGAGTATTGTTACTCTTACTTTAATATAAGATAATGATTTGTTTATTACCTTTCTCCCACAATCGATAATGAGTTCCTGAAGTGTAGAGACTGTTGATTTAACTTTGCATCCCCAACACCGAGTTCAATGCCTAACCATGAGTGAGATCTCAATAAATTTGTTCAATGATGAATTAATGAATAAACAAAGAATCTCCTTGGTCAAATGTAAGAGTGCCTTAGGTCATTTCCAATAGCGACAGTCTTAGAATTCTAATAACAACAAATTTAGTGTTGACTCCCAACCTCTCTCAGAGTGGAGGGGGAAAGGGCTTGGACTCTGAGTAGTCATGGAGCCAGTTAGATCTGAACCACCATAGTTATCTGACATAAGGCGACTTAGGCCTTTAAAGTCTCAAACTGGTCTTGCCTCTCTAAGGTTCTCAGGGCAGAGAATAGTTTAGGATGAAACCAGACTCTCTGAGACTACAGCTGAAAGAAGGAAGTACAGTGTATCTACCTTGAGTCGAAGTTTTCTAAACCCAGACACACAGAATGATTTATACTGGCTTTGGTAAGTTAACAGAGAAACCATAGTATTTTTGATTCTTTTTACTTTCTGTACATTATGGTTTTGCTATACCGGTTGTTTTATCTTCAAAAGCATTAGCTGAGATGAAAATATTTATTTGCTCCAATTAAAGTTTTACAGATTCTTAATTTGTTACAGTAGAAAAGAAAAGATACATTGGAAAATGACAGGCAAGGTGTAAATTTCCTAGAAACTGTGGAGGTTATATATTCAGCTAGCACAAATTACTTGAATAACTGTTTACTGAAGTATTATAAGATTAACTACGACAAATTTGCACAACCCAAAATATTCATTTTTTAATCATTGCTCAATGTTGCAAAAAAAGACTTAGTCCTAAAATAAATATTCCATTTCACTGGGTTCTCACATCAATTGGGTAGCAGATGTTCTTATTATTGTGTTTGAGGAAACCCACTTCCTGAAACGTTAACTCCGTAATTTTCTTTCTCCTATGTTCAGGATGAGTTGATGGCAGAACTTGAAGAATTGGAGCAGGAAGAATTAAATAAGAAGATGACAAATATCCGACTTCCAAATGTGCCTTCTTCCTCCCTCCCAGCACAGCCAGAGAGGAGGCCAGGGAGAATGTCAGCCACGTCCTCCACTGCACATAGATCCCGAGCAGGTCTGCTGCCCACCTCAGCTGCCTGTGGTCAGATAGTTCCCTGAAATAGTTAGCCAGGTTGATCCCTTTTAGCACTTATTTTTTGTTTCATAGATACATACCTTTTTTTTTTTTTGATACATACCTTTTAATACCCATATGCAAACCCGTTTTTTGTGCTGCAGTTGTGAATATCACCATTTGCTAATTTTTATCCATTTTATGTTCCAGCATCATCCAGGAGGGCAGAAGACGAGGATGATGATATCAAACAATTGGCAGCTTGGGCAACTTAAACTAAAATGGAATTCATGGACACCTGAATTAATGAGCTGTATGTAAGACATAAAAAATGTTTTTGCCTTGTTCAGAAGTTAACAAAGGCCCTGTTTTATATTCACACTGGATCAGTAATTGTCTTTTAAGCCTTATAAATAAAAGTTACAAAGAATCATGTGTAGACATCCAATCAGGGATGGAAAACAACTTCCTGCTAGCATCTTGGAGGGTCTCCCCATGCTGATGGGAAGGGGCATTCTATCTTGTTACATGCTACTGTATTTCCAGTCCCGACACATACTAGGTGCTCTGTGTACATTTGTTGAAAGAAAATGGATTCCTGTTAACGTATAAAACATGTAACCGTTTATATGTCATGTAAAAGTGATGTTGTAAAAGTGATAGCTAGAGAAAATTACTTTCTTTTCTAAGGGAATGCAAGTTTGCTGTATGCATCTGTTAGGACATACCTATCCCATGGTAAATGTACATACACCATGTGTCTTGTAGGAGAGACTTCATGTAGGGAAGTCTTGTGTGAGTCTCTACATAAGTAGTTTCATTTGAGTTTTGCAGTTTAAAATCTTAAAGGAGCTTTAACTGACATTTATTATGGCAATTAAGCCTGGAATAGGGCAATGGATGCACTTCCCAAAATGTCTGAAAGTGCTAACAGCTTACACTGCTGAGCAAGGATCTCCTGGGTATAATTTAGCCACTTAGGAAGCCATGTTAACACTCCCAGGCCATTATGATGCTGTTATGGCTTCCGCATGCTCAATCTGTGAAGGTTCATTCTTTTCTATTCTGTGCTCTCTTGTACATTTATTTACCCTTTACATCATATTCTTTGTAAATACATAAAAATGGAGGCAATTAAAAGTATATGATGAATAAAATTTGGATCATAATTATTTTCAAATGAAAATAAATGACAAAATTATGTATTGCTCATATGTCATGGACCACAAAATGACAAATGTCGTTATGTAAGATGTTCTAGTATTCCCTACTTTTGCTGGGCTACATAATGGAATGGAAAGAACACAAGAGCTGGAGGTAAGAGTCCTGGATTCCAGCCTCTGCTCTGCTGCTAATGCAGTATGATCAGCCATGTCATAAACCCTGAACCTCTGTTTCTTTGCTGGGAAATTCAAGTGTTGGACTTGATCTCTAATCGGTCCATCCTGCCACAGGCCTTTTGCATCTGCTGTTCTTAGCAGTCTTCCTGCTATCCACACAGATACCAAATCTTACTTATTCCATAAATTTTAGTTAAAATGTTCTTTATTTTGGGAAACTCTTCTTGATTGCACAGATTAAATCAAGTCTCCCTGTTATATGCTTTCACAGTACTATGCTCTCTCTCTAATCACCTATCAGGGTTTCTATTGCTTGATTGTTTACTTAATTATTTTTGTTCTTCCCTGCTGGGCTGGGTAACCAGGAGGGCATGAACTCTACCTCTTCCAGTTCAATAGTGCATCCCAGGACTCAGCACAGTGCCTCATATACAGTAGGTACTCAGTAGATATTTACTAAATGAATAACTATGAACTTTTTACATCTTTTGGGCTATGAGAAATAACAGGAACTAGATTTACTTCCCACTCTCAAACAACTAGACAACTGGACAAAATACATGAAGTAATAGTTTACAGATAGTACAACAGGCAGCACTAGACTGTGATTCCTGAGAGGGAGACAAATGACAAATGAAGTGAACACTTCTGGTGCCTCCTCCCCTGAGACCCCCAACCCCCGCTTACTGCCTTAGCAGGGAAAGCTTAGTAGTCTTACTGAGTAGAGGAAATCTGTGGGGAAGATTCCTGCATGCACACACACACAGAGTTTAATAAAGCATGGTCCTGTCATGATGTCTATCTCTTGCTATGCGCTCTAGCTCAAGCTCCAGTCAAGTACAAGTTCGAGATTTCCTCTGGTTTTCCTGCCATCTCTTCAGTATTGACATCTTTGTGTTATAGCTCACTTTGTTTGATATTAATATAGCTACTCCAGATCTCTTTTGGTTATAGTTTGCACGAAATATCTTTTTTCATCTTTTAATTCTCAGTCTATATCTGTGCTTGAATCTAAAGTGAGTCTTTTGTAGACAGCATGTCTTTCAAAAATCTATTCAGCAATCTCTCCCTTTGAACTGGAGAGTTTAATCATTTCCTTTAGTTCTTTAGAAATTGTTTGTTTTAGCTCTTTGAGCATATTTAAAATAGCAAATTTAAAGTCTTCATCTAGTAAGTTTAATATCTGGGCTTTTTAAAGCATAGTTTCTATTCTATACTCTTGTGGTTTTGTTTTTCTTTTCCTGTGTGTGGACCATACTTTTTTGTTTCTTTGTGTGTGTCATAATTTTTTGTTGAAAACGGGACATTTTGAATATTATATATTTGAATAGTATAATCCACTCAGTGTTTGTTGTGGGTTGATTCTTGTACTTTTTTAGTTACTTTTCTGAACTAATTTTATGAAGTCTGTATTCTTAGATGTGTGTGTCCCTTGAAGCCTCTATCCCATGTAGTGGTCAGCTAATAATTGGCCACAGATTTCCTGAAACATTTGGAACTGAAATGCGTTGTGTGAACTAACATATTTAGCATAAAGTGGTGTGTAACACTCTGTACATTTTATGAATCCATACTAACAATCTATATGATTTCTTAATATTTCACTAAGACTTGTTTCTTTGAGTGTGACATGTGTAAAGTCTGTACTACCTGGGAAAAAAAAGGCTTATATTTCATTTATATGTTGCCCAATTCATTCATCCATTTGTTCTTGTGTTCATTCACCAAAGACTACTCAACGACAGATGATGGGAATTTAAACAAGATACAGATCCTGCTCTTAGGTAGGTCACAGTCCAGCAGTGTGACCTTTGGAAAGTTTCTTAATCTTTCTGAGGCTGAAATTCTTTCATGAAATAATAGGAATACTACCTTAATCTCATCAGATTGTCATGAGAATAAAATGGGAATATGAGTGTAAAGCCAGTGCAGTACTTGGCACAAAGTTAATGCTTAACAAATGCTTTCTTCATGCTCTTGTCAATTCTCAGAACAACAGAGGTATCTTAAGTAACAAATCTCACCATCTGTCATATGCTATCCACATGCCAAATAAGTGCAAAGGGTCTTATTTAATATTTTATTTAGTTTGTAAAACATGGTTATGAAATTGGTTTTAATATAGTAGGTAATAAAATGAGTAGCCATTAATAGATTGAAAGGGGCTCAAAGACATTAAGCAACTTCCTGAGGCCACACAATTGCTAAATTAAAATTAAGAATTTGAATTTAGGTCTCCTTTAGTTTAATACCTATCTCCTCAACCGCTTCCCTACATCTCTGCTGATACTAGCCCTTCCCTCACAAGATGACACACACAGGCATAAAATCCTTGAGGAAATAGTTCTGAGCCAGTAGTAGAACCTAAGGGACCATTCCTTGCCTTTCCTTGGCTGTAGAGGGCAGCAGAGAGCCAGAGTGTGACGGGGGCGGGGGGTGAGCACTTCAGAGTAGAACATTAGACTCTTTACTGGTATTTCTCCTAGAAGTTTATTTTAATTTAGATAATGAAAAATCGCAGATGTCTACAACTTTGCAAGGAGCTCCTAGGAAACTGAGCCAGATAGCATTCTTGAAACTTATTTATCTATTTATTCTTTTTATCTGATAGTTTCTTAAAAAGAACACTCCTTTTTTCAGAGAAAGAAAGCAAACTTCAGCCAAAAAGATGAAGCCAATAACAGTCCAAATACTTGTAAGAATGTTCCCCTAAGTTCCTATTTGAAAATTTAGCCCTTCTGTAGCTTAGTTCTTAGTCAAGATGGAAGAGTTCAGGATCATATCTTAAAATTAAAGTTAAGAAGGATTTTGAGCTGTTTTACCTGATAATGTTTGTTGACAGGCTCTAGAGCTCTGCTGTAGCCACAGGCTTCAGGTGGCTGTGGTGCTTGAAGTCACCCAGGGCAGATTTTAAAGTGCAGGGAAGCTAAATGTGTGATGGAGACACTGCCTGTAGACCCAGGATCATTTTCTTTTTTTAAGTTTGTTTATTTTTTTTCGTAATCTTTACACCCAACATGGGGATCAAACTCATGACCCTGAGATCAAGAGTTACATACTCAGGGCACGTGGGTGGCTCAGTTGTCTAAGTCTAAGACAGTCTAAGAGACTGTCTTCGGCTCAGGTCATGATCCTGGAGTCCCAGAATTGAGTCCTGCATTGGGCTCCCTACTCAACGGGAGTCTGCTTCTCCCTCTGACCCAACTCCCTCTCATGCTCTCTCTCATCCTCTCTCAAATAAATAAATAAAATCTTAAAAAAAAAAAAGTCACTCTGTGGGACATTAGGTTTACTGAGAGGCCAGCATGAGCTGAGAGCATGGCAATGGAGTTTGCATATAGAGGAAGGTCAAACGGGACCAAGGAGTCATAGATATTCCTTGATGTCTTGTTTGAATAATTTGGCATATAGTTGTTCCATTTTCTATGGGATAAGGAATATCAGGAAAGGAGAAGACCTGGGGTGGGAATTGGGGAAGAAAAGGATCATTTTGGCTTTGGACATCAAAATTGAGGTGTTTGGAGCCACTTGATCATTAGAGGGCTATAAAGCAAAAGATAATCTGTAGAAGAGTCAGAGTTTGGAGTAAAAAAATTGCAGATGTAGAGAGAAGAGGAATGCTAACCTCCAGTGAGCGGAATTCAACTGAGGAAGGAGTGGGATAAATATAGAAAATCCAGGAGGTTTTCTAGCTTCTGTGATATGTTTTCACAGTATGGGAAAATGTTCCATTTTTATCTAGTTAAATAGCAGCTTTCCATCTTTTAATTATTTGAACAAAACTACTGCTCTCAGATTATAAAACTCCTCCTCAAAAGGAAGATATGGAGTAAGAGAAAAAAGTCTTTTTAAATAAGGTGACAACAAATCAGACATACCACTTTTAGAAAACTGAGGTTAAAAAAATAAAAAACGAGAAAATGTTTTGTAAAGGAATAAAGAGCACATGAGAAAATGAAAATGTAGGGATGAGTTCTGGTACAGAATTATTAAAAACCTAAAGAAACAGGCACCTATCAGTGTTGTGTAGTTGGCATCCCATGTTAAATAGGTAAAATAACAGAACTGAATAAATAAAAATGTCACTAAAATTTGATAATGGCTTTTTATTTTTACTAATTTTTAAGATTTTATTTATTTGTCAGAGAGAGAGAAAGCGCAAGCAGGGGTTTCTACTACTACTCTTCTACTTCTACTACTACTTCTACTACTAGAGAGTTGAAGCAGAGGGAGAAGCAGGTTCCCCACCGACCAAAGAGCTTGATACCGAATTCCATTCCAGGACCTTGGGATCATGACCTGAACTGAAGGCGGACACTTAACTGATTCCAGGTGTCCCGATAATGACTTTTTAGCTGATGATTACTTTTTAGCATTTCAGATTTAAAAAAAAATGGGTAAGGCATGGATCAATTTCATGTTCCTTCCTTATGGAGTTAAATAGAAAAAAATACTAAAATATTCTATGGTAAATGAAATACAATCCTATTTAGGTTAGTTGAGACCTGGTTAGGTGAATACCCTCATACAGGTAACGCACTTTCTTAAATGATGTAGTCAGTCAGTCGAGATAAATCTTGAAATATATCTCCGTTAGGGCTGACAAATCCGTAAAACAGCAGTCAAGTTCTGAGACTGTTGGGATTTTCAATTTGTTGCGTTCCTGCCATCTCCTCTAAGGAGTATGTAATCAAGTGCTACTACACATCCTTCCCACTAGGCGGCACTCTAAGCTCATCGGAAAAGCGAAGACTAGGCACCTGCTGAAATCGGCCGCAGGAGGCTCCGTTTGTGGGAAATTGATAGCAGTTTGGATTTTATTAATTGAAACATTAGAAATAGAAATGGTTCTTTATACACTAGGCAACAAGACAGGCCATATGGTTTCACTGAAAGTAAGTGATCTTTGGAATCCTTGCTTTTGTTTCATCTCACGCTCCAATGCATCTTGCAGACCGGTCGGGAGACGTTGCCCGGGGCGACAGATGGATCAGGGTGGCGGTGAGGCCTGAGCTGACCCTCAGGAGATACTTTGGTTTACTCACGGAATTGATAGGACCCAGCAACCTTGCTCAGCCATACACATACAAGAGAGATCACTTCTCTAACAAGCAGCCTCAGAGGGAAGTGTTTCACTGCTCATTGGCAGAGAAAAAGACTGCAGGATTGTAGCCGCGACTGAGGGGGCTCACCTCTCCATTACTTCAGAGGAACAGTTCTCCTCATGAGGTTCCAGGCATCAGAAGGGGCAGCGGTCTTCAAAGACTTCGGAGAAGTGGGTATGATGCATGTAGCTAGGTTCATGTCAAAAGTCCTTCATCCTGGCTGTTGGTATTAAAGGGTGACTCGTGACCCTTCTTCATTAACAACCTTTGTCAACCTCAGCCCAAGAGGGAGAACTGGTACCTGTGCTCAGGGACAAAACTGAGAACTCTCGCTTCACTGGCTGTGGAGAAGAAGAATTCACAGATAAGGCTATGAAACATCATTCATGAAGTCTTTATGGATATAACCAAACCTAGGAGAGAGAAACACTATAGTGAGTGCCACAGAGACTTCTTTCCATGAAGCTCCACCACTTGCTTACTGTATTCCTGTAATTTTTCTGGGTTGAGGCTTCATCTGCCAGACGAGAGGTTTGGAGCAGAAGACTTGATGTGTTTTCAGGCATACAAGTTCTAGGATTTGGGTCCAAGGAAGCTGAGTCTCTCTGCAAACTGTCACCCTACCACCATGCAGAGAGCCTTCCTGATCACTGTTGCTTCTGTGGGCACAGCAGACTTTCTATGAAGGGGCTTCGTGCTTGAGGCTG